TTCTAGGAGATCAAACCATTTTAAATTACCCCTTTGCAAGTCAAAAGCAGCAAACCCCAGCAATTCCGTAGGATACAACCTAATACCTACAAAGCTCCACTGGCTTCCACCATCTATAAGATGTGGGACTTTCCAAGGCCTGGTGGCATAGGCGGTGGGACAACAGAACTAGGTCAGGCTTTGGAGGGGAAGGACCCAGGTCCAGATCCCGGCCAGCCCCAACCACCTTTGTGATTTAACCTTTTCTTCCTCTGAGAGATATCAACCTCCTAAGTCCAGGGGATGAGCAGGACCTAAAATAGCACACATAAGGCCCAGCCCAAAGTTGGGGTGCCCAGTCAGGGTCTGTTTAGCCTTGATGGGCTATGAGTCCTCTTCTCTAGGCCCATGGGAGGGTTATTTTGTTCGGTTGGTTGGGTTTTGTTTTTTGGATTACTGTAGAGATATTACAGCACATTTATGTGATTATGTGAATGATCCTACAGGCGGAATCAGTGGGCTAATGACAGACTCAGTTAAATACCAATTACTAGACAAAAGCAGCACACCCTCGGTCTCTCTAGGGAAACTGTTTCTCTACAGCCACGTTTTATTTCTTGGAAAATCCCAAAGTATGTCCTCATCTGTCCACTCTTCACACTCTGTTCCAGGGGCTTCCTCTTCCTGACTTCATGACATGTGACCTGCAGTCACCTAATGAGAATGGCAGCTGGGCCGGGTCATCCCAGACCTGCCTTCCAAGCTTCCCTCCCATCTGCCTGGAGCCAGTGGCCTGGGTGTGAATCCCAGCTCCTCTGGATCTGAGCTATGCGCAGATCTCTCTGTGCTTTCTTTTCCTCATCTGCAAAATGGGGGCAATGGCAGTACCTACCTCCTAGGGTTGTTGTGAGGAAAATGTTCAAAACACTGAGAATAGTGCCCGGCACCGGCCAAGTGCTCTGTGGAAGATTTAGCTGTTGCTAGTGCAGGAAGTTGCACTTGGAGTAGGGCTTCGAAGACTGACATGGCTGTGGGGATGGGAGGTGTGTAGGGACCAGTGTGCCAGAGCTAGCTGATGCTAGGAAACTTCTAAATAAGGGCTGTCCCCTCCATCTCATATTGCTTGTTGGAGCCCTTAAGTAATTTAGGAGGAGAGGGGGAAGCAGCATGCCATTGTGGGAAGATGTAGATATTGTTGAGTTCAACCTCCAACTCTATTAAACTTCCAGCCATTGAAGTCCTTACCTCCTCACATCCTTCCTCTGCCGGGAAGCTCATTACCTTACAAGACAGCCCACTCCATTTCTTGGTCAGCAATCCCTGTAAGAAAGCTTTTCCTCACAGTGAGCTAAAGCTTCGTCCTTGTGATTCTCCAAGTCTCACCTTTGCTTCCCCCCATCCTGAGCAAACACTGCTCTCTGGGGCCATATAAAGTCTACTGCCTCCACCCTCGAGTCTTGGCAACAGTGGCTCTATACCCTAGTGTCTTCTCTTCTTCAGGCTGTGGCCTAAGCCTCTGGAAACCGCACATGGTTTCACGCTTAAACAACAATACCCACCCATGGGGTTTTTGCAGCTGCCAAGCCATGTCCCCATTCTCAGCTTTCATTAGAGGAGCTTGAATGCAGAACTTGGAGTTACTGGGTCAGAAAACACAGCAGCTTAGGGTTAGCTTCAGGCAGAGCCTGATCCAGCAACTCGAATAATGCTATCAAGGACTTCATTTCTGTGGTCATCCTTAGGCTCTATCTGTAGCCCCCTGCATCTCTGGGCGTCCCCTGGGCTGTCACAGCTCCCCGCCTCATCCTCCCGCCTCACCACGCAGGGAGCCAGCGCATCCGCATCCGGTGGAAACCCCAGCAGACCCTCCTTGCAGCTCCTTGGCTACCTGGGCAGGGGTCCTCAGCGGCGGGGGCGGGTCGTGCTAATTAGCGTGGGGAGGAGCCACGTGCTCCGCCCTCCTCTGAGCAAGTGAGCTGCTTGTGGTAGGGGTAGGTGAGCAGGGGAGCTACCTGGGTGGCGGTTGGGGGAGCTGTCACCAAGGGGAGCAGGTGCTGGGTGGCTGCAGGTGGCCGATGCCCCACCCTGGGCCTCAAGGGCGGCCCCGCGGATCCTCTCTTGTTTGGCTCAGGGGACAGTCTTTGGGATGCTGAACCCACCTGACAAACCTGGTGCCCACACCTGCTAGAACTCTGCAGTGCCTCGTCCCCGTGTCCCAATCACTCTGGAGCAGCTGCTGTGGCTTTCCTGACACGCATGTGGCCAACACTGCCCCTGGCCACGCTGGCTCCTCTGAATACTCACACAGGCCTGATCACGAGAACCCTGGCAGAGACGAGGGACCTCAGAGGTCACCGGCTCCTGCGGCCCATCTGCAAAACAGGGACCAAGTCCCACTCTCAGTTCCTCGTTGGCAAGGCTGGGGTGTGGAACCAAGGACCCCGCTTCACTCGTGGTGTTGTATGGCTTCTATATTTGCAGTGATCTGTGTCAGCGAAGACTGGCAGTGACTCCAAATAGCGACTCCTGAACTGAGCAGAAGGGTCCTGGTTTTCCAATAATATTTGGTCCTGGGAAACCCACTGAAATGAATCTGCATAAAATGGGACCAAAGAGAGAGTGACCTGTGTCAGATTTGATTGAGGCTTTAACTTGAAAAATAAAAACAAGGGGGACGGGACCCCTGGGTGGCACAGCGGTTTGGCGCCTGCCTTTGGCCCAGGGCATGATCCTGGAGACCCGGGATCGAATCCCACGTCGGGCTCCTGGTCCATGGAGCCTGCTTCTCCCTCTGCCTGTGTCTCTGCCTCTCTCTCTCTCTCTCTCTCTGTGTGTCTGTGACTATCATAAATAAATAAAAATTAAAAAAAAAAACAAGGGGGACCCCTGGGTGACTCAGTGGTTGAGCATCTGCCTTTGGCTCAGGGCGTGATCCCAAGGTCCCGGGATCAAGTCCCACATCGGGCTCCCCACAGGGAGCCTGCTTCTCCCTCTGCCTGTGTCTCTGCCTCTCTCTCTGTGTCTCTCATAAATGAATAAATAAAATCTTTTAAAAAAGAAAAAGAAAACCAAAATGTGTTAAGGTGAATTTACTGTACTAGTTAATAAAACCAGGTGTTTTCAACTACTCATTCATTCTTTTTTTAAATTCTACAATGTGTATGTAACATAAAATTTACCATTTTAGCCATTTTTAGTGCGCAGTTGGGTGGCATTTAAGCACATTCACACTGTCACACAACCATCCCCACCATCCACAGAACCTTCTCATCTTCCCAAACTGAAACTCTGCCCCGTGAAGCACTACCTCCCTGTTCCCTTCCCCCCAAGCCCTCAGCCCCTGGCAGTGCCGTCCTCCTGTCTCTGGGAATTTGACTGCTCTGGGGACCTCATACAGTGTTTGTCCTTTTGTGACTGGCTTATTTCACTGGGCATAATGTCCTCAAGGTTCATCCATGTTGTACCATGTGGCAGATCTTTCTCTTTTTAAGGCTGGATAATATTCCATTGTTTGTAGACCACGCTCTATCCATTCCTCCATCAGTGGACACTTGCATAGCTTCTACCTTTGGCTCTTGTGAATAATGCTACTGTGAACATGGGTGTAAACTTCTGCCTGAGTCTCTGCTTTCAAATCTTTCAGGTTTCTACCCAGAAGCAGCTTGCTAGATCCCGTGGCAATTTTATTTTTCATTTTTCACTCATTCTTTTTTTTTTTTCACTCATTCTTTAATCTTCAGGACAGCGGTACAGCGCACTTAGACACAGACTGTTTCTGGGTTGATTATATTCCTTTTGGAATACTTTTTCTGAAAAAACTGTGTGAGAATACAATGATGCATCCCTAACTAAGCGTTTTCTTATTTTTGCAGCTTAATCACGAGGTGCGTCTCTCTTGCAAAAATATTTGAGACTTTGGTTAGTTTGTCTACGGGCTGTCTACCTGGCCTCCAAGTGTCTTCTGGTGCTCATGGCCCTTCCTAATCCTGCTGATTTTCTCTTAATCAGTTGTAAACTGGTCCAGCCCTGCCCCTCACCACCATCAGTGGTTTTGCCTGTGATTCCCAGGATTCCCTTGGCTGACTTCCCCAAGCCTCTCCTTTTTCAAGCTGTGCAGGTTCATTTTACAGACCCTTTGTACCGGGTCGTTACATCTGATAGGGAGAGATGAGCAGATTCTGAAGAGATGAGAGACAGATGTTGGTGTAAAATGAGGGAGGAGGGAAGGACTAATTTAATAAGCAGCCAGTTCATTGGTGAATATTTTCAGGTTATGAAAGATTCGTTTTCATTTTTTCCTCAACTTTGTAACTGCAGTGACATGGAAAATGATTATTCAAAAAGTGAGGCCCTTAGAATATCAAGAAGGTTGATTGATGAGGGTGAAGTAGGTTCTCCAAAGCCCAAAGAGGAGAGATACCTTTAATTTTAATGCAATTAAAAGTAACTGAAACAAGTAAGACTTTTTAAAAAATCTCACCCATAATAAGAAGTCCAGAGGTGGGTGGCTCCAAGACTAGTTAACTCAGCAGCTGAAAGATGTCAAGGCTCTTGTCCAGCTACTCTCTAATTCTCTCAGCCATTTCCTCATGGTCACAAAATGGCTGCCCTAGCTTCAAACATCATATCCACATGACAATGTCCAAAGCCAGGAAGGAAGGGCATTTCCCTTTCTGATCTTCCTTTTATGAGTAATACAAATCCATTCCAGAGGTCCCTCAGAAGATTTTGCCTTTAATCTCATTGGCTAAAATCGGGTAGTAGCCTGTGCCTTAGCTATAAGGGAGGCTAAGAGAGTATCTGTCATGGAAGGTTGGCTCTAACATGCTGGCTGTTGGGTAGGGAGCCAGTAGGGTCAACCACAGAGACAATCCAGTGTCTTTTTCAGGCACATCATACACAGCTTACCTGTGCAGAGTAAGCAGTGGAAGAGAGTGAGCTCACGTCCCACACTTTCCTGCAGGAAGCCAGCCAGGCCCCCTCCTCCCTCTCAACGCCTGTGTCTTCTCCCCTGCCCACAGGTCAGAGGACACCCAGCTCCCAATCTCATCCCAAGCCAGCCCAGAGCCAGAAGCCAAGAGTGGTGAACCTGAGGACAATGGGACCAGAAGCCCAGACACCCCTCCAGAGGGAGCCTGGCAGTCAGACAGCAGTTCTGGGAGCAGACCCCTAGACGAAGGTTTGTTGCTGCCACATTCACCCGGTCGGGGAGGGTGGGTAAGGGGGTGGGAGAGTGGGGGAGGGTACCTCCCAGGGATAGGTTCCAGCTCAGTGTGGGAAAAATCTGTCTCCTTTCAGTCCCATACAGGGATGGGTTGGGTGCTCAGGGAGCTGAGATGGAGTGAGCCCCCCATCATCAGAGGTGTGTAAGCAGGGGCTGGATGGTCATCCCTCAAGAAGCCCACAAAGATGCCAATCATCTTAAGAACCTGGGCCTGATGGGTGTGGATGAGGTGGAAAGAGGAGAAACGCTGGCTGAGATGGTGCCCAGTGCTTTCCAGGCTCAGCCATGGGCAGGTGTGGAGGGGCTGCTGGGTGCCATCCTTCCTGTCCCTCCTCAGGGCCCCTTGTCTGCCCCTACCTTGGGCACCAGGACGGTGTTAATGACTGTGACAACGACGATGCCACACACGCATGCATGCACATACACAGCACACATACCCACACAGCATCTGGAAGTTGCCAGGACAAAAACCGAGTTGTCAATAGTGGGAATGTAATTCACACAACCAAAAAGTCATGGACCAGTCACCTCAACCCTGGTTCTGTTTGGCCTGGGACAGTTTCCATTGAAACAAAATGGAAGGGCCCGGAGCCCACCCAGCCGGGACAATCAGGCTGGAGAAACAGGTGTCCCAAGTCAGAAAACCCGAGCTGGTGGTTCCCGAACCTGCCAGGTGGCCAGGATCACCCAGGAGCCTTTCAAAAATATAGAGGGCCAGGCCCACCCCAGATCTGCTGCTTAGGATTCTCCTGGCCCTCTGCAGGGGGAGGAGGACATAGCTTTGCGGCTCGGGACACTCTCTCCATCCACGATTATCAAGGCCACAGGAATGAAGGCATTTCTCTTCCCTGGGAGTTTGAATCAGATTTCTGGCCTGACTCTCCTTGGCTCACGCTGGGTCCCCTGCCGTGGCTGAGCCAGTCATGTGGCCCGGCTGTCTGCACTCTGCCCGGCAGGCTGAACTCATGTGTCCCCTGGGCCAGGGCGGAGTGGGGAGGAGAGGGCGGGCTTCCCCTGCAGAGATGATCTGGGCACCCCCCACCACCCTGGACATGGAGCCTGACTCTGGGCAGCCACGACACACTCTGGGTTTCCGATGCACAAGCCGACTAGGAACACTCAACCAGACGCAGCCACATTGGGCATCCCACAGAGTCACACGCGTGACACTTCCTTTACATCCCCCCAAGGGTTCGAGGCAGGCAGCTCCCTGGGAGTTGAAAACCTGTTCAACCCGGGACCCCTGCCCTACAGAGCCCCAACCCTAGCCCCACGGCTTCCCTGGCTGGGACTGTCCTGTCCTAAAATGGAAACACTACACACCCCTGAGAGCACAGACAGGCCCTGGCTGGCTGTGTCATCGTCAAAAGCAGAGGAGAGAAAGGGCTTCTCTCTCCCAGGGTCCCTGAGTAAAACCTCGGGGCGGCGGGGGGGCTTGGATTGGCCCGCTGGGCTCCTGGGCTGGGCACTTGGGAGGGGCCCCCCAGCCTTGGTGTCCTCACCCTGCAGGATGTGGAGGGCGGCAGAGAGGCTGTCTGGCAAAGGGGGTGATGGTGCCAGAGCCCCTGCCCTAGGCGCGGCCCACCTGCACCGTCCCCCGGGGTGGGCTGCCTGGCTCCCTCCCCTTGTCCTGCTACCTGCCTCCCATGCTTCTCCAGCAACAGACGGGCAGCTGTTCCGCTCGGTGGAGGGCCAGGCCGCCTCTGATGAAGAAGAGGAGGGTGAGGAGAAGTGGCAGAAAGAGTGGAGGTCACTGGCAGAGGTCACGAACCTGCTGGCCGGGCTCTCCAGCTGCAAGAGTGGGTATGTGTGCTGCGCTGGGGGCGGAGGGGGCGTCCAGGATCAGCGCTGGAGGCCCAGAGCCCCTTCAAAGAGCTTGAATTTGGGGACCTGATCAGGTCCAGGCTGGGCACCCCCATCTCCCCTGACACTGTGCCCCAGGCCGTAGGAGGGAAGTGAGAAGATGGCCCCCCAGCATGTACGTGGACGAAACGAAGTGACTGGCAAAGGCACACTTTGTGGGGAGCTCTAGTTCTCACTGGCCTCCTCCCACTCCCTGGCCGCTGTCCCAAGACACGGCCCAACGCTGTAGCAAAACTCCAGGACGTACCAGGTCCTCCCCAACCCTCCCCACCATGCTTATAGCACCTGCTCCAGCTGACCCCTTAGCTTATTGAATCTTCATGGCCACCCTAGAGCCAAGAAAGACCCACACGCCTGGGGCACCTCAGACAAGTCACCTGACACCTGTGAGCCTCAGCCTTCTTGTCGCTAAGATGGGGCAGTAACACTTGTCTAGCAGAGGTTTCATGAAGACTCGCTCCTGAGGCTATAAAATGCCTGACAGGTGCCTCATCACCGTAGGTTCATCCCGAGGGGCAGCACCGACTTTCATTATTAGGTTGTCCAGTGCTGCCCATTTTCCCGGGTTATTGTTCTCACTGCCCCTTAAATCAATGACAAGTATTTGTTAAGCACCAGGCACATCTGGAGGCATTGAGAGAACAGCAATAAGCAAGACAGGAGCCCTCTTCTCCTGGAGCCCCTATTCTAGTGAGTGGTGACAAACATAAGGAAGAAAAGTGAAGGGATCCCTGGGTGGCGCAGCGGTTTGGCGCCTGCCTTTGGCCCAGGGCGCGATCCTGGAGACCCGGGATCGAGTCCCACATAGGGCTTCCGGTGCATGGATCCTGCTTCTCCCTCTGCCTGTGTCTCTGCCTCTCTCTCTCTCTCTGTGACTATCATAAATAAATAAAAATTTAAAAAAAAAAGGAAGAAAAGTGAAGCAGGGAAAGGGACAGAGGGGAGTGCAAGAAGATTCTAGGAAGGCCACTCTAAGAAAGTGCCATTTGAGGAAAGACCTTAAGGAAACGAGGGGAGAGCGTTCCAGGTAGAGGGAACAGCAAGTGCAAAGGCCCTGAGGCATGTTGGAGGGGCAGTAAAGGGGCTACAGAGCCTGGAGCACAGTGAGTGAAGGTGAATGGGAGGGAAGTCAGAGAGATCACAGGGGCAGATTGGGTGAGGCCTTTGGCTTTTCCTCTGAGTAAAATGGGGAGCCATGGGGGAGTACAGAGCAGGGGCTGTCATGGCTGAGCTTAGCTTTCAGGGGACAGACTCAGTGGCAACACCCACTTCCTGAAGCTGGAGCAGACTCTGCAGAGTAGCTCCATAATGCTAGTGCTCTCCTTTGCTGCAGGTGTGATGAACAGACAGCCAAGAAGCTCATGACTTACTTCCACTTTGACGGTGGTGACCACATCTGCACCCCAGGACAGCTAGAGGCCCGCATCGCCATGCTGGTGGAGCACCTGGGGACCCAGGGCTGCAGTGGGAAGGCCCTAGGGACACCTGGGGACAAGGTCAGCTTAGCCCCAGGGGTCAAGGTCTGGACCAATGCTAGAGTCTCTCATAGCTGGAAGAACCCTGAGGGATGTCAGCCAAGTCCGGGGCCCTGTTCACAGATGAGCAAACCAAGACTCAGAGAGGAGATACAACTTGCTTTGATTTGATTTAATGAATAATATTTTGGTTGCAAGTTAAAGGAATCATCTCAGATTAGCTTAAGTGCAAAACAGGTACTTATTATAATACGGAGCTGGCAAGATCAGCCTCAGAAGGACAGCCGAGGAGATGAGCTTCAGGAACAGCTGGATCCAGTGACTCAGACCAGATGGTCTCCACCTACCCCTATCTGCTCTGTTTCTCTGGGTGCTGGCCTCATTTCCCCCTACTCCAGAAGGGCCTCCTCCATGGGGTGGGGAAAGGAAGGCAGGACCACAGACAGTTCTAGGCTCTCATTGGTCCACCTAAGAAAGCCCAGGGAGATAAGAGCCCAATGTATTAAATCTCAGGGAAGAACTCCAGCTGGCCCAGCCTCGGTCACGTGCCTGTCCCCGGGCCAATCCGTGTGGTGGGCAGGCAGGGTTTAAGGATTAGCAGCTCCATCAGTCAGATGCCCAGAAAAGTTACTGAGGGCAAGGGAAGGAGCTGGAAGGCAACACCACGAGCAGGGTGTCACCATTGCGATAAGACCACTTAGCATTTTTTTCTCATCTCTCTACTCCATGGCAACTTCTACACTCCACAGTAGTCACGTGTGGAGTGCCGAGCGCTATCATTGCACTCAGCCCTAGCCCACTGCACTTTTGCAAACTGTGGTTTTGATTCTAAGATGGTTTTATATTTATATACCTGAAATTCTGAATCCATACTATTTTTGACATATCTGTGGTCTGATGTGGTTCCAAAGGGCATGGCCACCACCCCTTTTCTAAATAAACTCCAAGGAAGTGGGGGGTTAGGAGAGTTACAGAGGCTGAGGCACGTGACTTGTGTCCCCAAGCCCACTGTCTAGTCCCATTGGCAATGGGCACTGACACCATGCCTTCTCTGTCCTGCCCAAAGCCCAGAATGGACCCCGAGTGTCCAAGGGCACCACACCTTCAGCTGCTTCTCTTTCCCTCCATCAGCGCCAAGAATAGGGACTGTCTCACTCCTAGCATCCCTGCTTTAGAAGGCAGGTAGCCATGTGACACTGTGACTGCCTGGCATCTGGCCCCTGGTGGGAATCCTGGGGGGACCCATAGTCTTGGCTCCCCTGGCCAAGGGTGGGCCATCATTCATGCTGTCCCAATCGGGCCCCTCTCCTGGAGCTCTCCATCTTGAGGGAAGTGGGAGCATGGCTGGAGGGTGCCTTCTCAGCTCTGGCCCCTGGACAAGAGGCTTGAGATGGTCCTGCCCTCTCAACCCGCATTGCTGCTCCATCCCTGAGCATCTCCAGTTGCCAGTCTGTTCTGAGAATGACCCATAGCCTGCCAGTGAATTAGCTTTCTTTTCAAACTAGCCAGATAGGTTTCTATTGCTTGCAACAGCAACAAAAAAATGTATTAAACAGAAAAGAAAGCAGAGGGGTAGAGAAGGGAAAATGGAGTCGTCAACTAGAAAACAAAATATGCATATTCTTATATTAATGCAACTTGTTGTGTGACCTAAGTCCAGACACGCAGCCTCTTTGGGCCTTGATCCCACCCCTGGGAAGGTGGGTGATTTCATCTGCTCAGCCACCTGGCAGGCCAGGGTGGGTCAGAAAAGACGACCTCTGTAAAAAGGTCAAGGCAAGTTGTAGGCCCTGTCTGGAGATGGCACAGAGAGTCCTGGGCAGAGGGCAGCAGGGTGGGTGCTGAGTTCCCGGTGGTCCCTGCAGGCAGAGCTGCAGCAAAAGGTGGAAGAGAATGAGCATCTGAGGCTGGAGCTGCAGATGGTGGAGACAGAGAGGGTGCGACTGTCCCTGCTGGAGGAGAAGCTGGTAGACGTGCTGCAGCTCCTGCAGAGGCTCCGAGACCTGGTAGGCACACCCAGAGCAAGGGGAGGAGCTCTCTAGAGGGAGCACTGGCCTGTGTCAGGCACCTGGCCCTGAGCTTTCCCCACATTAGCCAGGTGTCCATTCTGTTTCTAGATTCAGAAAAGGAGGCTCAGGGACATTAATTAAAAGGAAGGGAAGGCTTCTCTGTCCTGCCCAAGGTTATATTATTCATTTCATGAAGCTAATATAGGTTTGATTTCAAAACCAGATAAGGATAAAAATATAAGAAAGGAAAATTATAAATTAATGTCACATTGAAACATGGATACAAATAAACAAATATTAAATAAGATATTAGCAAGCCAAATCCAGCAGTGTTTAAAGAAATGCATGACCAAGGTGGATTTAATCCCAGTAATTTGCAGTTAATTCAAGATCAAAAAATCTATTAACGTCATATACCACATTGCAGGTTAAAGGAGAAAAGCCATATAGTCATCTCAATAGATGCAGAAAAGTAAAAATGGTCTCCTTTTATTATAAAACTCCTCAGAAAATTAAGAACAGTAAAGACCTTCCTTTACCAGGTGAGGAGTCTCAGCCAACTACCTCTCATAAACCTCATACTTATTGGTGAAATGTTGAAGGAATGCTTCTAAAGTCAGAATCAAGACATGCATGCCTGTCATCACTGTTTGTATGCCAACTAGAGGTTCTAGCCAATGCAATAAGACAAGAAAAAGAAAGAAAAGATGTAAGGATTAGACAGGAAGACACAAAGCTGCTAGTGATTGTATATCATACTCATCTACATAGAATACCCAAGAGAATCCAGAGGCAAATTATTGTAATTTCTTTGCAAAGTAAATAATACAATATCAGAACACAGAAATCAATTGTGTTCCTAAAGAGCATCAACAAACCATTATTTTTTGTGTGTGTGAGAGAGGTTAATTTAGTATTACAGCCACTCTAAGGTGGAAGTAGGATTTGAACCCATGTTGTCTGGGTTTTAAGTGGACTCTTGCCTGTGCACCAAACTGCCTAGGACACAGAATTACTAAGGCCAAAGCCAGTGCAGACAGACAGCCTGAGAGGATGGCTGAGTGGCAGCCAACACCAGCAGCCCGTGAAGATGGTGGTTACTGCCACTGCTCCAGGCCATGCAACCTGGAGGTAAAAGCTGGTTCTTCCACCTCCTAGTTAGGTTGATTTAGGCAAATTTCTCCTGTCTCAGCACTGCTTTTCTTCACTAGTTAAAAGGAGCCTAATAATAGAAGTTGTTGCAAAGATTAAATGAGTGAATGCATAAAAATGCTCTTATTCCTGTCTATTTCTGAAGTGCCAACTTCTACTCTGGCACATAAATGGTAACCCATAAATATGTGATCTTTGATGGAATGGATCCTGTACCCCCTCTATTCACCCACCAAAAGTCTTTGAGAAGCCCATCAGGTAGTGGGGCCAGGGTAGGGCCCCAGGAAGGAATGGGGGTAGTGACTCTGTGCCCCCAGGGAGCCATACAGAAGCCTCTAGGGGCCACCAAGTCCCACCCACTGAATGAGGACATGGCAGCCACATAGAGCTCCAGCCATGTCTCCATTTCTTTTTAAGAACATATCAAAAAGAGCCCTGGGGAAGATCTTGCTGAACACGCTGGATGCTTGCAAGGACCCTACACACGGTAGGAGAACTCCCTCATCTTTCAGAGCCTGGGTCTAGAGAGTCCCTGATGCAGTGCTGTCTGTCCTGAGTGTCTTGTCTGCAAGATGCCACTGTCATTACCGACCTTACCACTCACAAAGTGCATAGTCAAGAAGAGACTTCAGAAAGTTAAAAAGGCTATTTGACAAGAGCAGGGGAACCAATGTCCCAGGGAGAAGAACTAAACAGAAGCCAGCATGGTCACACCCCAAGGGAGGTAGGCAGGGTTCCCTACTGTCAGTTCAGTCCCTGAGCTGAGTGCGCGCCAGGCTCTGGGGAGGTGCCCAAGTCATGACAACAGCCCTCTGAAGAAGGTGCTGTTATTGTACCCATTCCACAGATGGAGAGACTGAAGCAGAGAAAGGCCAAGTGCCAACTGTGCCCAAAGCCTTGAGTCTCCCCCTCTTAAGCACTAAGCTGCATGGCCCCCATTGTCGAGAGAAAGTTCAGGGCAGTGGTATTTCATCAGTTCCAGACTAGCTGGTGAAACCAAGAGGAACCAGGCCAAGCTCTCTCCTCAAAGAGCCTCATGTGCTAATGGGGGCAATGAACTGATGATGAGCCTTTGCTCACTGGCCTCACAGGGCATCTCTGGGCAAGGCTCAGGTTTGTCTAGTACCCTGAATGGTCCCTGGAACTGAGAGGGAGGTCAGAAATTGTGTGCTAGGAGCCCCCTTCTCTGGGGTCCTCAGTGGGAGGGAGATAAGATGGGAAGGTAGCTGGGCAGGACTGGGGAAGGCTCCAGAAAGGAGAAAGAGTGGCTATGTGGGCCACAGTGAGCAACCTGAACTATCCTCCCTGTCTGCTTTTTCCTTCCAGAGGGGAGATCTGGACCCTCGGCCATTCTGGATGCCCTGCACCAAGCTTTGGCTGGCTGTGAGCTCCTGCAGAGAGAGCTCCCGGCACCAGCCTCCACAACTCCTGCCCTCACCAATCCCCTCCTCATCTCCTGCTGAGGTCACTGACTCAGCCTAAGGGTATCTTGGTCAGCCTGACCTCCACCAAATGAGCCTACAGGATCAGTCTGACCACCGTCACATCCTCAGAACCCTGAAGAACCTGGCTCCTTCTGAGACTGGGCTCAACCACAGAGCCTCCCAACAACAGAGCCTGGCAGACATCCTTTCCTTGGATTCCTCCCAAGTCCCTTTACAGCCCCTGCATTTCTGCTGCCAGAGTTCACATTGAAGCCCTGGGGCTGCTTGATCAGCCCATACCTGCTGTTGCCCCCCCCTGCCCACTTTCTCACACAGCCCAGCCCAGAATCCCTTCCTTGGTCTCCTGGGATCTTTTCCCCTCCCAGCACTGTCCCCTTCCTCTCACTGGTGTGCCTGATACAGGCACACTGTGCCCAACCTCCAGGCCACACTTGGCATACTAGGGGATTCCCACGCCCCCAGAAGTGTTAAAGACCAGGTAGGGCTCAGGGAACACAAAGTGGGGGTGATTACTGCAGGCTTCTAGGTGGAGGCTGTCCTTGAACTAGCTCTAGAAAAGAGAATTTAGATACAAAGAAGATTTAATGTGAGGGAACAGCAAGAGCAAAATGTGGTGCCAGAAAAGGTCCCCATTAGTACAGTACTTAGGACACCTCTTTTCCAAGCATATAGTGGGTACTGGATTTCACAGGGTCACAGGAAGGGCTAAGACAAGCTGCTGGTCTCACCTACCTTAGCATCTTGGAGGAGAGAAAGATACATTGGCAAATAATATGACATGGGTGAAATCGGTGCTAAATCGATGTAATATATTTGTGAGAGTCCAGCCAAGAGGGTTTCATCTGAGCCAAGGAGAGCACGTGCACCACAGAGGGGAACTGCAGGGCGGAGGGCAGGTGCCTGGAGGAACAGTAGCAGGTCATGGAGGACTTGATGGCAGATGAGGATCTGGGACTTGCTCCCACAGACAATCGGGAACCATAGGAGGATTCTGAGGTGGATAGAGGGAAGAAGAGGCAGCTGCAGGATTGTAGGAGGAAGGGGTAGTAGCAGCCTGGAGCCAGAGCTACGGGGACACAGAAGGGGATCATGGTCATGGAAGGAGGACCAAGGGGTATCCCGGTTGGGAGCCTGGGAACAGCAGGCACCCCAGGGCAGGGCAGCAGGGACTAGGGACAGACAATACCTGACCTCCTGTCTGGACTCAGACACTCAGCAACTTGGATTGGGCACAGGAGGCATCAAGGAGCCACTGCAGCCTCCTAGGGAGAGTGACACAGGCCCATTCCCAGTTTCCCTATGGTTCCTCTGGGAATGGAATGAAAGAGACCAAGGCCAGTGGCCATTCCAGAGGGGCCACCCCACCCCTGGTCCTATCAGATGGGCCAGTCTTTTTTGAGAAAGTCCCCAGGATACCTCATGGGCCATTGGGAAGGGCTGGGCACTGAGGAGGGTGGTCTGAGCAGAGAGGGCTGCCCCCAGCTTGCTCCTCTCAGCTCAGCCTGAGCCCACAGCCCTCCTCCTCCTGGCTGTGCTAATAACTGCATGACCCAGGTGAGCCCCACCTGTGCCCCTGACCAGTAAGAAAGCTCAACTTTCCATATCCTGCCCATGGTGGCATTCACAGAAATCTACACGTATGTTAAGATTCATAGACATTCGGGGCACACGAGTGGCTCAGTTGGTTGAGTGTTCAACACTCTGACTCTTGATTTCAGCTCAGGTCATGATTTCAGGGTCATGGGATGGAGCCCTCACACTGGGCTCCACGCTCAGCAGGGAGTCTGCTTGAGATTCTCTCTCCCTCTGCTCCTCCCCACTCCCCTTTCTGAAATAAATAATCTTTTAAAAAAATTTATAAAAATAGAAAAAGATTCATAGACCTGGAAGCTCCCCTCAAAAAAAAAAAAAAAAACTGAACTTCACTGTATGTTAACAAAAAATAAGAGGGACCAGAAGAGATATTCCTGGAGTGCCTCCAGGCTCTAGGGACCTGGAATCTGCAGACAGAGGCAGAGGGCTCTTTGTGGGTTACAACTACACTAAGCTTCATCCTCAAGATTTCCCTAATTAAAATCTCTTACAACTGCCCAACCATCAGTGGTTCATCACACTTGTATGTCCCTAATCTCATTGGAAGCAAGTTGAGCTAGATTCAGATATAGAAATACCCAGAATCACACAGCAAATCAGCATCCAAGCCTGGAGAAGGGCCTGTTTTCTGCCCACATCTCTTGCACTTTCTACCACAACCAGCTGTCTCTGGCTAGGAGACTCTGGGCTCGCTAAGGGTTTGGAGTCTGGATTAGTTATGGTATAGGCTACGCTGCCTTGATAAGGAGACCCTAAAATATTCTGGGTCAAATAAGATATAATTTTATCTCCTTGCTCTAAGAGTCCAGAAGTGAGTGGTCCTGGTTGGCAGAGCAGCTCTACTCTATATGGTCACCCAGGGACCCAGGTCCCTTTCACTTGGTTGTTCTATCATTCCCTAGAGTTATGTCCTCCCTTGCACAGTGGAAGCCAATTCATCAGCACTGCATCTGCCTTCCAACCCACAGGAAGAAATAAAGGGAAAGGGAAAGAAAGGCACTCTGGCTCACAAGGCTTCTACTCACCTCCCAGTGGCCATGCTCAGCTGCAAGGGAGGTTGGCAGATGTCGTCTGTGACTAGGCAACCATGGGCCCAGTTTCCAGTCCAGCATGGAAGGAGCTTGGAAGTCACCAGTCCATCCTAATGACAAGTAAAAAGCTGAACAAGCTGAAAATTCAACAACTCCTTTTAGATGCATAAGAGAAGTGAGGTTGCAGGACAAACGGCTGCCTCCAAAATTGGAAAAACAGACTGGTGAATGCAGAGAATCACAACCTGCCAAAGAAGGCTCTACCTTCTCAGGAACCAGTACCAGATTAGGAAAAGCTGAACTGCAATCAGCAGAATTGGTGAAGACTCATTTTGGGCAAGTATAGACAGTTAAAAACTCCAGGGGGACCCAGTCATGGGGGGTGGAATCCCACACCTTTGTGAGTTTTACTTTAAAAAAAAAAAAGATTCTATTCACCCATTCATGAGAGACACACAGAGAGAGGCAGAAACACAAGCAGAGGGAGAAGCAGGCTCTATGCAGGAAGCCCGACACGGGACTCGATTCCAGGTCTCCAGGATCAGGCCTTGGGCCGAAGGCGGCGCTAAACCGCCAAGCCACCCGGGCTGCCCAAGTTTTACCTTTTGAAACTCTACCAGGTCCTCACAATGAAAGTCAAAGTAGAAAAAACCCTGCTTCTCACAGTGGGAAGGGAAGTAACCATTTTTGAAATATGCCAGAACATTCCATTTTCCTTAGGAAGGCCTACTCTTAGGAGAAACTATTTTACCAGAGCCTAACCAATTGGGGTTTTATCAGAGTCTGTATTAATTTCAGACAGAGCAGAATTCAGGAGCAAGGAAAAATTTTAAGAGACAAAGAAAGGCATTACATAATGATAAATGGTCAATTCTCGAGGAAGATGTAACAATCCTTAGCATGTATGCACCTAACAACAGTGTCAAAATACATAAGGCAAGAAACAGTAGAACTGTGAGTTGAAATAGATGAATACATTATTATATTTGGAAACTTCAACTCCCCTCTAATGGAAATGAATAGATCCAGCAGACAGAAAGTCAGTAAGGACATAGTTGAACTCAACAATATCATCAACCAGCTGGATCTAATTGACATCTATAGATGACTTCATCCAGCAATTGCAGAACACACATTTTTTTCTCAAGCTCACATGGAATATTCACCAAGATAAACCACATTCTGGGTCATAAAACACACCCTCACAAATTTTACCATATTCTGTATGCTCCCAGACCATAATAGAATTAAACTGGAAATCAATCAATAGAAGTAGGTGGAAAATCCCAGAGTATGTAGAAGTTAAACAACACATTCCTAAATAACACACAGGTGAAAGAACAAATCTCAGGAGAGACTTAAAAATACTTTGAACTAAATGAAAATGAAATGCAATCTACCAAAATTTGTGGGATGCAGTGGTTAAAGGGAAGCTTATAGCATTGGATGAGTATATTGGAAAAGCAAAAGATCTAAAATAAAAAATCTAAGCTCCCACCTTAGGAAACTAGAAAAAGAAGAGCAAATTAAATTCAAAGTAAGCAGAAGAAAAGAAATAATTTTTTAAAATAGAGCAGAAATCAGTGAAATTGAAAATAGGAAAACAATAGAGAATAACAATGAAACCAAAAGCTGGTTCTTTGAAAAGATCAATAGACTCAAAAGTCTCTTGCTAGGCTAATTGAGAAAAAGAGAGAAGATACAAATTGCTAATATCAGAAATGAATGAACAGATATCACTATACATGATCATTATATGGATAATAAAGGAATATTATGAATAATTCAGAGCCCTCAAATCTGGTAACCTAAGTGAAATTGACGAATTCCTTGAAAGACACAATCTGCCAAAACTCACACAGAATTATAAATAGGCCTATATCCACTAAGGAAATTGAATCAATAATTAACAAGAGAAAGCACCAGACCCAGATGGATTCACTGCATACCAGATGGATTTGGTAATTTTACCAAACACTTAAGGAAGGAATTCTTGCAATTTTCTACAATCTCTTCCAGAAGATAGAACCAGAGGGAATACTCCCCCAGCTCATTCTGAAGCCAGCATTACCCTAATACCAAAACTAGACAAAGATATTACAAGAAAAAAAAAACTATGGCGCTATACCTATCATGAACACAGAGGCAAAAGTCATTTAAAAAATAAAAAATTGGGGGATCCCTGGGTGGCTCAGCGGCTTAGCGTCTGCCTTTGGTCCAGGGCGCAATCCTGGAGTCCCGGGATCGAGTCCCACGTCGGGATCCCGGCATGGAGCCTGCTTCTCCCTCCTCCTGTGTCTCTGCCTCTCTCTGTCTCTCTCTATGTCTATCATAAATAAATAAAAATCTTTAAAAATAAATAAATAATTAAAATAAATAAATAAATAATTGGGGGATTCCCTGGGTGGCTCAGAGGCTTAGTGCCTGCCTTCGGCCCAGGACATGATCCTGGAGTCCTGGGATCGAATCCAACATTGGGCTCCCTGCATGGAGCTTGCCTCACTCTCTCTCTCTCTCTCTCTCTGTGTGTGTGTCTCTCATGAATAAATAAATAAAATCTTTAAAAAAATAACAAACTGAATCCAACAATATATAAAAAGAATTATACACCATAACCAAATGGGATCTATCCCAGGTATGCAAGGCTGGCTCAACATTCAAAAATTAACTGAGGTAATCCATCATATCCACAGACTAAAACAGAAAAATGACATGATTCTATCAATAAGTGCAGAAAAAAACATTTAACAAAACCCAAAACCTATTCATGATAAAACAACAATAACAGCCTGTCAGCAAACTAGGCATAGGGAACCTCTTCCACTTGATAAAGAACATCTACAGAAAACCTAGAGCCAACATCACACTTAATGGCGAGAGACTAGATACTTTCCCACTAAGATCAGGAACATCAAGGATGTCCCCTCTCACCATTCCTTTTCAACATCTTACTGGAAGTCCTAGCCAAAGCAAAAGACAAGACAAGGAAATACAAGGTGCTGTGGACTGAATAATTGTATCCCCCAAAGTTCATATGTTGAAACACTAATCCCCAGTATTTGGAGCTGAGGCCTTTGGGAGAGAAGTGTGTCTTGAGGGTGGAGCTCTCATGATAATGAGCGTCCTTAGGAGACTTCCTGCTTCCTCTCTCTCAGTCTCTGCCAGTCAAGGATACAACAAGGAAGTGGACCTCTGTAAACCAAGAAGGGGGCTCCCACCAGGAACCCAACCACTCTGGCACGCTGATCCAGTCTCCAGAACTGTGAGAAATACATGTTTGTCACTTGAGCGCCCCAGTCCATGGCATTGTTGTAGCAGCCCAAACTGACTAAATCAAAAGGTACACAGATTGGGAAGGGAGAAATAAAACTGTCTTTATGCACAGATGACATGATCATCTAAGTAGAAATCCCAAAGAAACAACAACAACAAACCCTGGAATAAGCAATGATAGAGAGATCGCAAGATACAAGGTTAATATACAAAAGTCACCTGCTTTCTTATATACCAACAATAAATGAGTAGAATTTGAAATTTAAAAAACACCACACGATTTACATTAGCACCCCCCAAAATGAAACACTGAGATACAAATCTAATAAAGTATGTGCAAATTCTATATGAAGAAAATTGTAAAACTCCGATAAAAGAAATGAAAGAACTACGTAAATGGAGGCATATTCCACTTTTACAGACAGGAAGACTCAGTATTATCAAGATGTCAGTTCTTCCAACTGATCTCTCCATTCAGTGCAGCCCCAATCCAACTCCCGGCAAGTTATCTTGTGAATATTGACAAATCGATTCTAGAGTTTATATGGGGAGGCGAAAGACCCAGAAGAGCCAACATCATATTAAAAGAGAACAACAAAATTGGAGGATTGACACCACTTGACTTCAAGACTTACCATAAAGCTACAGTAATCAAGATGTGTAGTGCTGGCGAATAAATCAGTGGAACAGAATAGGAAGCCCAGAAATAGACACGTACAAATACAGTCACCTGATCTGTGACAAAGGAGCAGAGGCAATATAAGACAAAGATAGGGGATCCCTGGGTGGCGCAGCGGTTTGGCGCCTGCCTTTGGCCCCGGGCGTGATCCTGGAGACCCGGGATCGAGTCCCATATCGGGCTCCCGGTGCATGGAGCCTGCTTCTCCCTCTGCCTATGTCTCTGCCTCTCTCTCTCTCTCTCTCTCTCTCTCTCTCTCTCTCTCTCTCTGTGACTACCATAAATAAATAAATGAAAATTAAAAAAAAGAGTTTACAAAAAAATAAGACAAAGATAGTCTTTTCAATAAATGGTGCTGGGACAACTGGACATCCACATGCAAAAAATCATAATAATAATTTAGATGCAGACCTCACACCCTTAACAAAAATTAATCCTTCACAAAAACTAAAGTGAATTGTAAACCTAAATATAAAATGCAAACCTACACAACTCCTAGAATATGACACAGGAGAAAACCTAGATGAACTTGGGTATCTTATGACCTTTTAAAATACACCAAAGACATGATCCATCCCAGATACCCTGGAATTTGTTAAAATTAAAATTTCCTGCTCTGAGAAAGACAC